CTGCTGGGGGGGGAGGGGGAGGGGCGCTGGCCAGGCCTGCCTGTTGGGGTCCCTGGCGCTGGCATCTGTGGGCCAGGCAGAGAGGAGAGGGGTGGCTCCCGGGGGCCCCGAAAGAATGTCAGGGGACGATGTGCTGCTTTCGGTGCCGGGGGGCTTCGGTCCTAGATCTCTCTTCCTCCCTCCTCCCTCCCTCCGCTGGCACGAGGCTCGGGATCCAGCGGGAGGCCCTGGGGGGTCCTCCTTTGCCCCTCTGCTCCTTCAGAACGCCCTGCACTCCTGGACGGTGTCGGACCCGTTCTACAGACCATTTCCTGCCCTTCTGGCACCAGATTCTTTCCTGGATTTTCAATGTCCCATCTGACAAATCAAAACGTCTCTTTCTCTCATTCTGATAATGTGTCCCGAAAGCCTCGGTCCCCTAAGGTCCTCCCTGCGGGGATGACATCAGGCCCCCAGGTTGCCCTGCGAGGACAGCTTCACCAGGAAAACGGGGGTCTCCTTTGGAGCCTCTGGATTTTCTGGCCGTGATGGTGACGGGACAGCTGTTTCCCGCCCCACACACCTGTCCGTCAGGGTCCTGAATGCTCCGACCTACAGCAAGGAAGTCCCACATCAGGGGCCCCCCAGGCTGCGCCCCGTCCTGTCCTGCACTGCTCTGCTCCAGAAACCTCAGCTCTGTCCCTCCCCGCCAAACCCAGCTGCCTTAAAAAACAAACAAACACAAAACACCAAATAAACATGGAACCGAAAAATTTTTAAAGAGCTCAGAGCTTTCATTTTCTGACTAATTTGTAGCTGACGAACCAGGACACGAGTGCCTGGAGAAGCCACCCAGACATCGGTGTCCATAAACGAGTTGGGGTCTCCCAGGCACCCCTCCCTGCACTGGGGACGTGGGGGTCTTAAAAGGGACAGCCACCGGGCGTGTAGTAGGACCATTCTGGGATCATCCATCAGATGGGGGCCCAGCGTCCAGCCCCCCCTGAGTTCGGGGCTCCCTTCTTAGGGGTCGGTGGGTGCTTCCCCATCCCCTCATCGTGGTTCGGCCACATGACCGGGTGGAATCATGGCAGGGACCCAGCTGTGCCGGCAGCAGGGAGGCTGAGGGCGGACGAGGGCGCGGGTGAGAGGTCGGCTGCGGTGACGGGGTCGGGGGGCAGCCCCTCGTGCCCAAGCGTCCCACCCTGCCCCCTCAGCCCAGGTTTCAGGGCCCAGCAGGGACCCACCGGGCTCCAGATGACTGGACCCTCCCCCAGCCACGGCACCCTCGTCCCGCAAACCTCCGCCAGACCCCGGTGCTGAGACTGGGGAGCCTTGTCCTGTGCTGGCCCAGCGTGTGTCCAGTCCTGGGAAGAGGGAGGAGGCCTCCACGCAGGTCGTGCTGGGTCCCCACGGAGGTCGCTGCACCCATGGCCCTCGCCGGCTGGGGCCAGGTTACGGGACCTCCTGTGGGGCTGCCTGGGGAGCTCGTGGTCCCGTGAGGGGTCGGAGGGCAGGTGTGGACCCAGGGCCTGGGCCTGCAGAACGAGGCTCCACCCTTACCCTTCGGATCTGCGCCCCCAGGACGGGCCTTTCCTGACCCTGGGCACCTACTATCACCCCAGGAGGCCCGATTCACCCCCGGATGGGCCTGTGTCCACTCTGGCTGCTGGGTTCCCAGCGCCTGGCCCTGAGCCAGCAACAGTGGGTTCTCTGAAGGTGCTGGTGCCCTGACCACTAGTGGGGGGGGCCTTGCCCCCAGGTTCCCCGCTCTTGGCCCACCCACTTCCTGGGCTTGCAGGATAAAGGGGCTCTGAGGCCCCAGGGGCAGAAGGGAGAGGACCCAGAAGGGTGAGGACATAGCCCAGACCCCTGCCCTCTCCATCCCAGACGTGGGGGACCTGGCCCTGGTGTCCTGACTCCAGCCGCCCCCTCTCCCCCCACAGATGCTGTGGCTGCTGTTCGTGACCCTCCCCTGCCTGGGGGGCTCTGTGCCCGTGACCCCTGGTGAGTGCCTACCCCATGCAGGGCTCCCGTTGTCCTGAAACCCATCGGTGACCTCGGGCCTGCACTGACCTGGAGTGGGACAGGGTGGTGACCCTTGGGACATGCTAAGTGTGGGAGGCTGTGCTTAGCCCCAGGCGGCGGCCTCTGGGTCCCTGACGGCTCCCCACTGCGCTTCCCCAGGGCCTGGCCTGGGGCCCGAGCTGGTGGGCACCGACGGGGACCATGACATCCCTGCCGGGAAGTGGCCATGGCAGGTCAGCCTGAGGGTCTTCAACGAAGAGTGTGACCGGTGGCAGCACGAATGTGGCGGCTCCCTCGTCCACCCCCAGTGGGTGCTGACCGCGGCCCACTGCGTTGGACTGTGGGTGACTCTGGCCGCCCCCTTGGCAGGGGAGGGGGCGGGAGGGGAGCAGGCAGAGGGCCGGGGTGGTGTGAGGGGACAGTGTCCTGGGCCAGGAGACTCTGGGTCTGGGTGGCCCTGGGGGCGTCAGGGGGAGCCTTCAGGCTCTGAGCCCCTGGAGACAGTCCTGCTGGGGGGGGGGGTGACCAGGTGCCCGCCCCCATCCGGCTTCTTGGAGAAGCTCCTGGTCTCTCTCCCAGGGAGCCACAGAAATACAGGGTCCAAATGGGGCAGCTGAGACTCTATGACCACGACCAGCTGCACAATGTGGCCGAGATCATCCGCCACCCCAAGTTCAACGCGAGCCTGTCTGCCTGTGGGGGCGCGGACATCGCCCTGCTGAGACTGGAGGCGCCCGTGACGCTTTCCCAGCACGTGAACCCCGTCAGCCTTGCTCCTGACTCACTGGTGCTCAGCCCCGGAACAAAGTGCTGGGTGACCGGCTGGGGCACCTTTGGGGCCCACGGTACGACCGGGGGGGGGGCCCAGAGGAGGGACAAGGCAGAGGACACGGGGGTGCGGTGGGGACCGCACGGCCCACGGCCTCGGTCGGTGGGGGAACATGCCCGTCACAGATGGGCCGGCCGGACTACTAGCCACCCACCCCTGGCCCGGCCTCAGGAGTCATCTGAGAACGTCCTTGTTTAAACTTGGACAACAGCCTACGAGCAAGGGGTCACTGCTCCTGCAGCTGGGAACCCAGGGACTCGGGACTCGTCCTGCTGGGAGGGGTTCACTGCTGTGCTTCCCGGGGAGTCCACCTTCCCTTGCTTCCCTCCCTGCCCGTTTACCCAGGCTGATTGCACACCGGAGGTTAAGACGGGGAAACTGAGGCCGGGGTGAAGGAGGCCCCGGGCTCAGGATCACATGATGGTCCTGGGAGGGGCTCCCTCCCCACCCTGGCTCGTGTCACTGGCCAGCTGCGGGGGTTGGGGGGGACCCGCAGGCTGAGAGTGAGGGTGTGGCTTCCTCTGGCACCACCCCGCTCGGCGACCACCAAACACGGCAGGGAACCGCGTGGCTCCTGGACCCCAAAGATCCCTCAAAACCCAACCCAGCTCTTTCTGGGGTCTGGCTGTGAGTGAACTTTCTGGGCCCCCAGCCCCGGGCGTGGCCCTGCTCTGTTGACGCGCCAGAATGTCGAGGCTTGGCCTCTTGGTTGTGAGTAAAGTAGCAAAGTCTTCAAAACCCCCACCGTGTGACCGCCAGTCGGGACAGGGACCTCAGTGTGGCTCGTTGGTTTCCGCATGGCCTTTCTCTCGTGTACCCAAGCCTGGCCTCTGATTTCATGGAGCGGCTTTTGGATACACGGCAACAAATTGGCCATGATTCCAGTCCTTTTTTCCATCCAAGTGATGGTGTGACGCGTGACTCCGAGAGGAGGGACCCAGGGGAGCGTGACCTGGCGCCCCGGGGGGAGGGGCGTGAGCCCCTGGAGCCGCCCTCTCTCACCCAGCCCCTCTCGCAGCCCTGCCATCCCCAGCCCACCGCCTGCAGGAGGCGGAGGTCCCCATCGTGGAGAACCAGGTCTGCGAGAAGATCTACCGCCAGGGGTCACCTGCTGGAGGCCACGGCCGTGTCATCAAGAAGGACATGCTGTGTGCAGGGAGGAGGGGAAGGGGTTCCCGGCAGGTGAGACTCGGGCCCGCCCCTGCCCTCCATTTCAGGGCTTCTGGGTGTTGCAGTAGGGCGCCCTGCGGCCGACTGACCTGTGAGTCCCCCTTACAGGGTGATGCGGGGGGCCCCCTGGTCTGTTCCTGGCTGGACATGTGGATCCAAGTGGGAGTGCTGAGCTGGGGCATGGCCTCCGGGCACATCGACTATCCTGCGGTCTACACCCGCGTGATGACCTACTCATCCTGGATCTACCAGCACGTCCCCCTGGGGCCTTGATGGGCCTGTGTGGCCGAGGAGCCAGCCACCCCTGCCACCTCCCCCATTCGGCACCACCGTCTCCCAGGTGCCCTGTCCCCTCGGTGCCCTGTCCTTCTCTGACTTTGGGGCCCGAGGCAGAGGAGGGGCTGGGAAGCTGGTGTCTCCTTGACAGCGGGCACGTTGGGTAAGAAGCGTCAGGGACCTCCCTCCTCCCCGCTGTCTGCTGTCCTATTAAACTGTGTGCAAAGCAGCCTCCAGGATTTCTGCATGTACTTGACCGTGGTGGGGAGGGGGTACTTCCTGGTGGAGGTTCCAAGGCTCTGAAAGCTTCAGGAACAACCTGGACCAATTGTATCTGCTGGCAGGGCGAGTGGCTGAGCCGGGGAGGCCCCGTGGTTACTGCCCTGCCCTGGGTGGGGTCTGTTTCCAGGAGGCCGCATTCTAGACCCCTCCTGCGGCTCGGCCTCCCTCCCCAGCCTCGTTCCCCCCAGTCCTCGGGGATGAGACCAATGTCGCCTCCCGGCACTCCTTCCCCTGCATTACCTCATGTTCCCTAACTGCGCCATCGAACCCAGCCTCCCCTGGGGGCCAGACACCAAGAAAAGTGAGAGGTGGTCCTACGCCGGCATCTGTCCTTCCCTACAACAGTGGGGATTCACTCCAGCTCCTGCAGGACGGCCTGCACCCTGTCTGCCAGTGTGGGGCCACGTACGCATCACCAAGAGTGAATTACGTGAAAACTCACATCCTCAGTCTCGCTATGTCATAGTGGGCACAGAGACACAGTCCATTGTTGTGGGAAGTTCCACTGATCAGTGCTGTTCGAATTTCAGAAAGTTGACTGTGGCCAGCAGGATCCAGAGGTGGAGGCGGGACGACAGCTCACCTCTCTGGCTGGGTTCCTGCCCAGCTCCTGAGAGTGCAGCCCCTTCCCTGTCCCAGTCTCTCTGCTCTGTCCTCCTTCCAACATCTGACTCCTCTGCTCCCCCCACCCCCACAGGGTCCTCAGTCCCTTCCACCCTGGTGGGTGCTGCTCCTTCCTCCCTTACACTAAGAAGAAGAGAAATGGAAACTTCTCTGAGCGAGGGTGTGGTTAGGAACAGAAGGGTCCGGGGCCAAGTCTCAGTTTTGTTTCGTTAAACTGTTAGCAAAGCAAGACAGAACGTGACCAACGATTTCTTGGGTGTGGGTATGGCTGGGGTGGCCCAGGGGCCCTGGGACTTCCTGATGGCTCCATCTGCTCTGGGGCTTGGGTTGGAGAGGTTGTTGCTCCGTGCCAAAAGTGGTGGGGTGGTGGGGGTAGTGGGGGTAGAAGGATGGATGGACTGGCAAGAGGGAGGGAGGATGTTCTCAGCGATACTCCACTCTTGGGCCGCTGTTCTCAGCCCACCCTCTGCTAGAAGGCCAGCCTCATCTCAAAATTCCAACCATCTATCATCCATCCACCTACCCACTCATCCATCCATCCACTCATGTATCCACTCATCCATCCATCCACTCATCTATCCACTCATCCATCCATCCAACCATCCATCCATCTGCTCATCCATTCATTCATCCATACACTCACCCACCCATCCATCCATCCACCCACTCATCCATCCATCCATCCA